ATGTCCCCAGTGTTCCAGCAGGGCGACGAGGGCCACAGCTGGTACATCATCCTGCGCGGCTCCGTGGACGTGGTGATCCACGGCAAGGGCGTCGTCACCACCCTGGCCGAGGGGGACGACTTCGGCAAGCTGGCGCTCATCAACGACGCGCCGCGCGCCGCTTCCATCGTGCTGCGCGAGAACAACTGCCACTTCCTGCGCGTGGACAAGGACCACTTCAACCGCATCCTGCGCGACGTGGAGGCCAACACGGTGCGCCTCAAAGAGCACGGCCAGGACGTGCTCATCCTCGAGAAGATCTCTAACGCGCACTCGCACTTCAAGTAAGCGTAGTTTCTCTGTGTCGGCCGCCATTGAACCGCGCACTTGAAACTTTCTAACCGCCATCGTCGCCGTCCCTGCCTCCAGGTACACGGTGATGGCGGGCACGTCGCAGAAGATGCTGGAGCACCTCCTGGAGACCCGCCTCGTCGGCAGCTCATCTGGCCCCGGCGGCCAGGACGCCCTCTACGGCGACCCCTTCCTGGAGGACTTCCTCCTCACGCACATCGTGTTCATGCCGACGCAGCAGCTGGTGGCCGAGCTCTCGCGGCACTACCGCATCGAGCCCAGCCCCACGCAGGAGCAGGACTTCCTGCTGGCGTGCAAGCGCCGCGTCGTGCAGTTCGTCAACTGCTGGGTGCACACCGTCCGCCACCCCGTGTTCGACGACCCGCACTCCCTCGCCTTCCTCGAGGTGAGCGGAGGCCCTGCGGGGGTGTTCGGAAGGCACCTCGCCACCGCCCTAGGACTCCAGCTGACCGGTCGCCCGGTGTTGTTTCAGGAGCTGGCCGGCGAGGTGGAGCACGACGCCATGACGCACCCCAGCCTGCAGGAGGAGGCCTCCCTCATGCACCACGTCATGTCGCAGCTGCGGCGCTACCAGGAGGACCGGGCGGCCGCCTCGGGGCAGAAGTGGAAGCTGCCGCCGTGCGGCCAGCCCGTCGCGCCCTTCTCCAACGC